TCGCGAAAATCCGGCTGGAAGTTGCGCTCAGCTTGCCCCGACAGCTTCAAAACTCCCAGAAGCTGGTTTCTGCTGGCTGGGGGTTGCTTTTGCAGCGGCGTATTCTTGCGGCGACCCTCAGGCTGCGCATTCTCCGACCAACTTTACTCTGCGGGCATTCTGCGCGCACTGCCGGTAGATACACATGGTTCATCACTCCAGCTTCCTGTTAGCAAGCCACACAAAACTTTCGCGGAAAAAAACATAACTTTCGCGACCCCCTTCGCGGAACTTTCGCGAAGGTCAACGCTAAGACCAAAAGGTCGTCCCCTTCATAGCTCAATACAACGACCTTTCGGACGACTCTCATGTATGTATGTATGTATGTATGTATGTATGTATGTATGTATGTATGTATGTATGTATGTATGTATGTATGTATGTATGTATGTATGTATGTATATACGTACATATAAACAGGGATATATATATATATATATATAAAATCTTCATCTAGCATTATCTATCCATCAAACCAACAATCCATCAATCAATCAATCCATCCATCCATCCATCCGTCCGTCCGTCCGTCCATCCATCCATCCAGCAATGTAATTATGTATGCGAACAACCTCCCTGAAGGGGCACGCGCCCTGGTCACCTTAACTAAGCGTGGAAAAAACAAACTGAGCATGCACAAGACGAGGCAGCTTAAGACACGGACAGATTCCAGCATCGCCGCACAGCGACATGGCCGAGAGGCGCGGCGCGCGTGGTCCGCATCAGCAAGAATGGCTCCCGAAACATTCATTGCAACGGGATGTCTCCAAATGGGCGGTCCCCCTTCGACATCCCTTTCATCTTTGTACCCATTCCAATGGTGGTACCGTCAATGGTACCTTCCAAAAAATGACCAGAACCGCGCTCAAGGAACTCTCACTCTTTTGACAGGCTTTCAAACGGCATGTAAGCGATCAGCAGAGCGGAGCACTGCGCTCGAATCTCTCAGAAGAAGCTATAGTACTGGAACAGGTTGGCCCTGGCAGACGGTTCGCACATCAGTTGTGGAGTTCAATGAGAGGAGTCAAAGTGACTTGGCCATTGCAAGTGTACACCCGGTGCTGTCCCGTCCTTCCCTGCAATTTAAGCAGTTGGGGTAGCAAGAATGCTGAAGACCCCCTGAAATGACTTGGGGTGAACGGAAAGGGGCCGAAGCCCACGTTTGGCGTTCTATCAATGACGCGCTTTCTATACCCCAGGATTTTCTGGATGATCCCCACATTTTGCGGCCAGCACCCCGGACTGGTGATTGCTAAGGAAAGGGGTCTGTCGGCTTGCGTGTCGTTTCCCTCTACGAATCACTGCTGTCGGCTTCCCCCAAACGGACCTTGAGCCCATGTAAATTGCTTTACTCTCAACGCCCAACCCCAACCTACCCGTCCATGTTCAGAGAATTTGTTTGAGACCAGACCCAGTCCTTTGAGAGCTTCTTCTCCCCTAAGAAACTGCTCAATATTCAAGCCCATGGTCAACCCAGAAAAGTGAAACTCCGCGCTGCCCATCAGGTGATGCAGGTTGCAGTCTTCTTCTCACAACAATCTTCCTCAAACATCCTGTCCTTCCTGGCCGATGGCGCATGTCCAAACCCTGACTTCCCTCAAGTCGCACCTTTGAGCAGAGACTCGTTCTAGGGGGACCGGTATTGGGCCAGCACGGCGTGCAAGCCGAAGGAGTGGTGCTATGCGACACCTTTCTTGGAAGTGACGGCTTAACTCACATACATTTGGGATTCCTATTCTGAACTTGTCACGCACCCAACGCTGTTGGCATCCAATTCCATCCTGGCTTCACATGAAAAAGCAGCTTGCTGCATCCAGAGCTGTGTCCGCGATTGGGCTTGCACTGGGGAACTATGCTTCTCTATGGCAGCTTGGCAGAATTCACACCTGTTTGGTTGCTGCGGCTTACGAGCACGAAAGGCTGCTTATGGGCCACCTACACGTGTATGTAGTTGAGCAGGTATCCGCGACCAACAACGCAATACCTGTAATATGCCCTAGCAGCCCCAGCACTCCGCTGGAGCGTAACTTGAGCAACGCAGAATCAGTGACCCCAACTTGCTCGCCTTGACGAAGTCAGTTCACAAGAATGTGATCCGGTTGAAATCGCATGGGGCGACAACCAAGCCGCCTGCTTGAAAAGCGTCAGGGAGTGTGGGACAGGGCATTTCAGCCACGATACAGTTCACGCAACATTTCACATTGGTTGCGGCTGAGCTGCCAGGGTCATCGTCCTCTTGGAGCAACCCGCTTGCCCATCTTTCTCCCTGGCCGAAGGTCATCCCAACCGCGCAACTGCCCAACTTTCAGCCCCAACAGTTGATGCTCCAAACAGCAACCCTCATCAGGGATCCCAAACAGGTTCGAATCAATGGTTTCAAGCTCACACAAATGGACATTCATGCACGCCACACCCCCAAAAGACATTAATTCGTCAGAACCCATTTAGGGTCATCCAAACATGCAGATCCGCGTAGTGCTCCATCCACAACACAAGCGCATGGGAACATGCGCTAAAGATGAAAGGACATGTTCCCTTTTTCAAGGTTGGTTGGGCCGACATGGGAACTATGTTTTGCTCTAGCAGGTTTCGGGAAGTTGCCTCTCTTGTTTGGTTGCTGCGGTTTGTGAGTGAGCACAAAAGCTGATTATGCCAACGGTGCTGCCACCTGTCCCAGCTGCCTGCCTGGCTGTCCACGTGCTGCAGTGGTGTGTCTTCGTGCGCGGCTTGCCCCCACCACTTCCATTTGTCCCATTTTCTATAGCATAGAGCCGACGAAGCCGATGTCCGGAAGCTTCTAAAATCTAAAAACTTTAGTTTTGCGTTATGTAACTTCTTCTTTTGTTGTCTATTTGTTCCTTTCATTGCTTCGTTTATGCCCATCTTTCTGCAGTTCTTCGTGTTTCGTCTTTTTATTTCGTTATTCCTTGCCTTTCCGTCTTTGATTGATTCTTTCTTTCTTTCTCTATCTGTCTACCTCTCTACCTACCACTCACGCACTCGATCTATCAACTACTGTGTAGCCATCCAACTGTCCAGCAAATCTATCGCTCTCAGCTATCCATCTCTCCCTCTCTCTTTCTCCTATCTCTCTCTCTCTCTCTCTGTCTCTCTCTCTCTCTCTCTCTCTCTCTCTCTCCGTCTCTCTCCAACCTACCCAACTATCTGTCCATCTACCTATCTCTCTATATATCTGGCTATCTCTCCCTCCCTCTATCCATCTGCAATCCCTCGATCTACTTATCTATCTTCCGATCTGTCTGACTACTTCTCTATCTCTCTCTCTCTCTCTATCTCCCATCTATCTGTCTGTCTCTGACTCTATCTGTCTCTCTCCCTATCTGTCTCTCTACCTACCACGGAATCTGCGCCGGACTTGGTGAAGGTGCCGCATCCACGATCCGTCGTGCCTGCCACGACATCTGCACCTATCCTTGCAAAAAACGCTGGGCCTGCCACGAAACCTAACTGACCTTGCACAAGCGCTGCGCCGGACTTTGCGAACTGCAGCGAAAGCCATACCTGACCTTGCGGACGTGCTGCATCTGCCAGAAAATCTGCACCTGACCTGGCTAAAGCGCTGCACCTGCTCGCAATGCGAAAGCGCCTGCCACGCGATTAAAACCTCGCGACACCTTTGCATTGCCATTCCAATGGCTGTGCGCCGAGACCGTGCCGCGCCCGCGCCGGGACTGTGCCAGACAGGGGTCGAGACCGAGGTGGCTGACACCGACACAGAGCCGCCAAAGCGGGCAAAGGATCACTCTTTTTCGCGATTTCTATTCCCCCGCCACATGCCAAAGCATGTTTTCTCGCACGCATTCATTCCTTCATGTTATATGTACGCAAAACTACCCTTTCAATAGCGTCTGCGCTACGGAAGTTCCTTCTAAACTTCCTGCGCCCTGCTTTGCCCCTCGTTGGTAGCGATCTGTGTGTCTGTGCATGTGCCGCGCGGGCACCTGACCTGGTGCTGCTGCTGCGTGCGGTGGCCTGCGTGGGGCCTTTTCCCCGCTTTGCGTCCAGGGTAAGCGACGAGGTTGGCACTTTCACCAATCAGAGACTCGCGCAACCCCAACCGCCATGACTTGAACTCAGTTCACAAGAACGTGATCCGGTACCTGGTGCATTGGTTGGACGCGCAGGGTTGCAACCAAGCCCTGTGCTTGAAACACCTCAGGGAATTTGCGGCAGTGTTGGCAGAGTTGAGCCTGGGGATAGCTCACTAGGCAGAATGAAGGCATGGCCGCGTGGCAGGGCAAGTCACGCAACATTTCACATGGATTGCATCTGAGCTGCCAGAGTTATCGTCTCACCCGCTTCCCCATCTTCTTTCCTGGTGGACGGCTATCCCAACTTCCCAACTTTCAGCCCAAACAAAGGGGCAATCTGACAGGGCTGGCAGGCTGCAGGGCAAACAAGCTTTTGGCCCAGCTTTCGCATTTGAGTGAAATACTCGACGCGAGGCCAGTGGGGCACAGCTGCAATCGCAGCGTTACCAAACCAAGTTTCGCAATCCATCCAAAACACTTGGAGGATCTGGCCAGCAATCTGACGCTGGCGAGACAAAACCGATCATGTTGAGGCACTGTGAGGCAACATGCATGGACTAACCATTTTTGGGGCGCACATGGATGGCTAAATCGCAGAAACCACCGGAATATGTTCTCTATGTTTTCCGGATCACTGGTTGGACCTAAGCTTTTGCTCTCATCTTCTCTTCTTCGGCAAGCCCATAAGTCTCTTCCCTGGCATGGCACCTTAGCCGCAATATGCAGTGTTGCGGCTGGAAACTTCACACCTTCCCTGCGGGTGGATTGTGAAGGCATCCTTTACTTGTCCCCCCCCAACCGCCGAACTTCAAACTCCGAAGACGCAAGATGAGGCTCTCCCCCCCCTTCCAGCCTGGGCGGGGCAGCCTTGGCTCCTCCGCCGGCTTCGGCACGCGCAGGAGCTGCAGGAAAGCCTCCGGGGTGATGATCCCTAACTCTTTTCTTTTTGTTTTCGCGGGGGTTTTTCGGACCCCCTAAAAAAAAACTTCCAGAAGAAAAAAAAACAGCGGCCTTTCGAACAGGCCTTGAAAACACAAAAAATGAAGGTTCATAGAGCCCAGAAGTTTGGCTGGATCAGGGATTGTCTTTGGGCATGTGGGTTGTTTGGGCAGCTTTCTTTAAGGGTGGGTTGACGGTAAGTCTAGGGTTGATGTAGGCCTGGAGTGTGGGTTTTAGTGCGGGTTTAGAGTACGCTTTTACTGAGAGGGTCTTTTTAAGGTCGGTTTAGGGTAGGTTCAAGATTGGTTTAACACCTGGCCCAGGGCAGTTCAAAGGGGGTACGGATAAGGATGGGGTTTCAAGTGTGGGGAGTCAGCTTGGGATGGCTGCGCTCACACTTGGATCGGATTGTGGACAAACATGACAACACCTGCGACGCAAACCAACTCGCAACACATGACCGTGTTCCTCTTGCTGGAACCCTCTGGTGGGTTCCGTGTTTGCTGGTGGAAAATAGCGACTATCCATAGCGCATCCCAACGTTTTGATTCCTTGTGGAGTGCCTTTCAGCATACCCTTCAATATATACACCCACATGAACCTGACAAAAGGCTTCTGCAACTCCAAACGGCCTCCCCACCAGCGATTTGGACGGGAATCAATGTCCAATGAGTAGGTTGCATCCAGCTGCAAACAACTACGTGTGCGTAGGCAGAAACTACACGCTTTATGACTCACTTACTTCCCTAATCAGTGTTTCGCCGTGTGCCACATCCAAACTCACCCCAGCCTTGTCCACAATGCCACGCTCCTGAAGGCGCTGGCTGTCAGGAACCTCCTCGCCATTGAAGAGCAGCCTCAGCGAAAACACGGCCAAGATGACTCGATGAAAGGGGTTCCCATCCAAATCCAATCCCACTTTCCTTCCAAATGGCGGCACTAGGTCCCCTTCCTTTCAACAGCCCTGCTCTGCGTCAACCTCAGCATTAGCCTCAAGGTCCAGAGCACACAAGCACTTGCCCTGCTGGCAGGGGCTGCACAATGTGCAATCCCGAAGGCTACCTAAGGCTACTACGTCTGTGATCCTGGTGACAAACCACGGGCTTGCTTCCAGGCGTGGCGGCGCCACGCCTATCAAAACGAATGGTCGCCCAACACTTGTTGCTGATGGATGTCATTCGCCCAGGCCTGCCTTGCAGACTCCGAGTTCGGTGCTTCTCACGCTCAAAAAACCTGTACCAAAATGGAACCCTGGTAAGTGGAACATGGACCAAAACCTGCGTAACCCCTCCTGGCTAATTTTGAGCCACGCCCATGTCCCCACGCCCTGCCCCTTTCTTGCCTAGGCTCCGCTGCTCCTCCGGACCGTATCCAGCACTTGTGGCGATGGCCTGACAGACAGGAAGCCTAGTGCGATGTTCGAGTTGAATTGGGCGACCTCCTTAACGTCGCAGGATGTAAATAACAAACAGAAGTTGTTGTTCATGTGTAACACCATGCATCCCCTTGTGTTGTGATTCAGGGATATCTTTCATACATGGGTGTATATATACACCTAGAAACTCTTTCGGCTGAAATTTCAGCCGGAATCTGAAATGCATCAAATTTCGGCCGAAGTCCTGAACATTTGCCGGAATCTGCCAAAAAAGCCGGAATGGGCCCGCTGAGGCTCAAGGAGGATAATACTCAAGCTTCCTATTTGGAAAGTTTCGCCTCAGTTGTGGAAAGCTTCGCCGAAATTGGGGGAAGTTTCGGCGGCATTGCGGAAAGTCATGCTACGCAAGCCACCAAAAAACAATGCAATCATCATACTCAAACTGCCAATTGACAGAATTGCCGAAAAGCTAAAGATTTGCCGGAAATGCAACAAGGATATCTTTTCAACAAGGCTATTACTTCGGGGCATTTTGATTGTCTAGGTGTATATATATATATTTATTTATCTATTTTTATATATATATTGTGGTTGTTCTGGATTCCTTTGTCTCGAAATGGGCCATTCTTCGCGAAAACAAAACTATCTTCGCGAATCTTTCGCGGATTCATCGCCGTGCACTTTAACTGCTGAAGTCAGAAAGTCACAACTTTTAAGTACAAAGTGCAGTACCGCAACAATAAAAAGCATAGTGCGCGAAATGCACTTCTGCAGCTGCGGCTGGAATGTCGCCACTGCTGGGCGTCACAACTTTTCAGTACCGGGCTAGTACAAGAAATGCACTTCCGCAGCTCCAGCTGGCAAGTCGCAGCGGTTCAGTACCAAGTTAGTACACGAAATGTACTTCCGCAGCTTCAGCTGGAAGTCACAACTTTTCAGTACCAATTGGTACACTGACTGACTAGTGCGCTGCTCAGATTGGACCTCCAAATGCACTCGAAACCTGCGCTTTCGCGCGGGATTTTGCGGATCTTTCGCGGATCTTTCGGAACTTTCGCGAAAATCACCCACGTTTCAGAGCTAAGAGCACACACGCACACACACACACACACACACACACACACACACACACACACACACACACACACACACACACACACACACACACACACACACACACACACACACACACACACACACACACACACACACACACACACACACGCACACACACACACACACGCTTGAAGCACTAACCAGCCAAGCAGGGTATCAAATTGTTGCCGCACCAGGCTTTGTCACCTAAACGAGAAAGCCGCTAAAGCAACAAAATGGCTTCAACCAGCTATAGAAGGAAAGCTCAACAGAAAAGATACACTACTCTCACACATCACTGATTCACACGATGCAGCCACGCACAACTTTCGGGAAAATAACAATTACTTTCGCACCTCCGTCTCGAATTTTTGGCGGAGGTACCTCAACCAACACCGAGGGTCACCGAAGACAAAACTCCTTACAAGGACCTTTAGAACGACTCCCAGACATAAATGTAGATAGATGTAGATCGGTATATATGTGCACACGTGTATAATTTACCACGGCAACTGACCGAGGGTTTCCCGCGAATGATTGAACAAACCAGAACACCCACGAACAAATATGTCAGAAGGAAACTAATCCAGCCCAAAAAGAATACAATTCTAGGAGTTTGGTTCCCTTCCTTTTCGGCTTGTGTTTGGTGGCTTTCTGGAAGGAAGCATCTCTTGAAAGAATAAAGGAGTTACCCACAGGAACCAAATCCCCCCATGCACCAGCATGGAACCTGACAAAAGGCTTCGTTGTAGCAATCAAATAAAATATCCAACCAATAGGATCCAATAGGCACGGCTTGGAAATGTCCCAAGAAATGCGCGGCGAACCCCCAATTGGGGCAAGTCCTGTGAAGCCCCACATGCTATCTGCTCCTTCCTTGTTACCCACGACGCAGGCAACAACCTCCTTGTGCCACCAAGACCCATTTATGGCACACCAATCACCTAGGCCATACCAACGAACCACCCGCCAACACCCACAAGCCCCATTTATTGCACGCCATTTATGGCACACCACTCACCTAGGCCACCTAGGCCATACAAATTCCGGGCGAACCGAGCTCGGAGCTCCGCGCGGCCTTCTTCACGTCGAAGCCGGTGGACTCCAACGCCACCTTCAGCTCCGGCAGCTCCTCCCCGCTGAGCAACGCCACACGCAGCGCCAGCGCACCTCGAGCGGGCCGAAGGGTCAGTTGGGTCGGCCCGGTCAACGTCGGTCTGCTTATGTTAAGATTTGTGTAGTTGTGTTTTTTTCGGGTTTCCTTGGTTTTGGTATGTGTAGTTCAAGGTTTCTTTGGCCCCTTGGCCTGACCACCCCCCCCCGGTCAAGGCAAACCTTTCGGTGTAGACCAACGCACCGTGGGTCAAACCCTTGCAGCGAGTGTCCAAATTCCGTGAGAGTCCATAACGGCCCCAAGCAACACCGAGTACACAGGCATGGCATGGGCCAAACCCCAAACTTGGCCCTAAACCAGTCGTGCCCGACAAAGCGCACCAGCCTAACCAAGGCAATGCCTACAACGAGCGCCACCACTTCTTGACAAAGCCAAATTCATGCCAACCTAGCAGGTTCTCAAACACAACTACAGCAACTCTCGCCCCCTTAACTTCTATGTTGTGATATGCAGCTGAAGTGGCCCATGTTCCATCCATATTCCAACAGCAGCAGCCAAAAATCCGACAGAGGTTAACTGAAGTCTGGGCTGACAAGGATGAAGGATTGCCTTTGAACCGCCCAGAAAACTGGGTGTCAAAATTGGGGTCTGGAAAAAATAAAACACTTCCCCCCCAACCTCCTCTTAAGAAACATATCGGGCATGCGAGTTTGGTCCCAGGAAGTCGATTGCCCCGAGCAGCCCTCCGGCGCAGCGGGGGCTGCATCTTCCCGTGCAAAGAAGGCGACGCAGCGCCGCTGCTCTGTGTGGGCCTCCAACGCCATGTCCACGACCGTGATCATAGGATATCATAGGGATCCCCGCAAAAGTGACTCGGATCCCCTCCAGAATCTGGAGTTTGCCCTGCCTACATAGCACCCGTTGGAGGGTACCTGGAAGATGAGTTTCCTTGAGGGAGCCCCTGGTGCTATGTTAGTGGGAGGGGTGATACTCCGATTCTGGGGCGATGTGCTTGATAGTTTCACCTAACCTACGGATTTGTCTGAAGATGCGGGAACCCCGCAAAATGGGCGGTTTCATTTGGCTTCCGAAGAGTCTAAAATCAACTGTCTTTTGCGAGGGTACCCATTTGCAAAGACAATCACAAGGAAACCTATCTGGGGTCCATCAAAATGCATGGGCGAGGCCGCACATGCCCGCCAACTATGTCTTGCCTCGAGCTCCGCTGCAGACTCGCAGAAGTGGACGATCTCCCGGCCTGTGTGGGAGAAACCTAAATATGTCAGAAGAAACTGAAAACGAGAGAAGGAGATGAACACTATTTGGGCACGTGCCTGTTTCAACTGGTACCCTTGTTGGGGGGCTGTTTAAAGAGGGAATCAAAGGGAGACCACCAGTTTGCCGAGTCCCGCGTTTGAGACGCAATCGCGCAAATGTCTCCGCAGGCGGAGCTACACCAGTTCAAACAAATGGCCATAGATATCTCTGCTCCCCCCACACCCGCTTGAATCAAGCAAAAAGCCAAGCTCATATTTGCAGTGTTGCGCTGAGCTTCCTGCTCGAACTCCTAAAGCCACCCTGCCTCAAGGCCTCAATTATGCTCAAATACGCGTTTCCCTTCCCTCCCTTTGCCCCCAAAAGAAAATGTCCCCTCCCTTCCTCTCTTACCCTCTCCCTCTCCCTCTCCCTATCTCTCCCGCTCTCTCTCTCGCTCTCTCTCTCTGTATCTCTATCTCCCTATCTCTCCCTCTCTGTCTCTCTTTCTCTCTCTCTCTCTCTCTCTCTCTGTCTCTCTTTCTCTCTCTCGCTCTCTCTTGATCTCTCTTAATCTCTCTCTCTCTCTCTTTCTATCTCTCCTTCTCTCTCTGTCTCTCTTTCTCTCTCTCTCTCTCTCTCTCTCTCTTTCTCTCTCTCTCTCTCTCTCTTTCTCTCTCTCTCTCTCTCTTTCTCTCTCTTTCTCTCTCTCTCTCTCTCTTTCTCTCTCTTTCTCTCTCTCTCTCTCTCTTTCTCTCTCTCTCTCTCCCTCTTTCTCTCTTTCTCTCTTTCACACTCCTTCTCTCTCTCTCTCTCTTTCTCTCTCTTTATCTCTATCTCCCTATCTCTCCCTCTCTCTCTCTCTCTTTCTCTCTCTCTCGCTCTCTCTTGATCTCTCTCTCCATCTCTCTTTCTCTCTCTTTCTCTCTCTCTCTCTCTCGCTTTTTCTATCTCTCTCTCTCTCTCTCTCTCTCCCTCTGTCTGCCTCTTTCTCTCTTTCTCTCTTTCACTCTTTCCCTCTCTCTCTCTCTCCTTGTCTCACTTGCCTGTTGCCCCAGTCTGCCTTTGGTCTTGCCAGGATTTCCCGTCAGGTGGCAGGTTTCACAGAACCGCTGCTTGGGATCCAGGGTCGGCTTCAAGTTCTCCCAGAGCTTGGGGCAAAGCACCTCCCAGTCCTGGCCCCATCCAGAGGATTCCCTTGGGCCCAGGGTTGTCCCCTTCGCCATCTTGCTTGGAACTTGGGCATACCTCGTATCACTTTTCGGGCAACAGAGTTGTCGCATGAGGCCGTCTACAAGTGCCACCTGCTTTGGCCAAAGCACGGATCCGAGAGGCTGTCAACCCGAGCAAAACGTGGGTTGAACATGGAAAGCTATTAACCCAAACGAACCGACACACTACCGAGGCAAAATCAAACAGTGCGTGAGAGCTTGCCTTCAACCTTGCCCCATCTTGCCCGCATGGCAAGAAAACCTATCTTTTTGTTTACAGTAAAATGAAATTAGGCACTCTTTGGTGGGCATCATTCACAGTGCGATTTATGTTCACCAAGCATTTCTTGAGGGGTTAACCCTATTCAGCTAACAACCATTTGGCAAGCAACCTGTACGTATTTCGGAGTTCTCCTTACTTCCGATCAACACGCATGTCTAACTCCAGAGGCAACGGAAACAAACAAGCACATGCTTGCAATGAACACAAGACGGGAAAGTCAGCCACTCCCCCTCACAAAGTGTTTCTACTCGACTAAAATAAGGCTAATTGTGCGCAAAGTCTGCCTGTTTCTTGAGGTGTCTAATTTTAGAAACTGATGTTGTTTCCGATTGATTCATCCATTCAAAATGCAAGAATCATGCAGCGAGTCAATATCAGGAGGGCCCTTTTCCTCCCCACAAACACCTGTCCTGCCCCCAAGGAAATCCGAAAATGGGCGTGGAGCGCGCTTCCAAGAGCAAGTTAAGCAAAACATGTTCCATAACATCCACTCTCTCCAAATGCATTCTACGCATAGGAATCCAAACCCTTAGGGCTCAACGGATAGGAACTTCATGCCAATGGCATAACAATTCTTCATTTTGACCCCGCTTTCCTAGTTGAGCCACAGACCACAATACCAACGTGGGCCAACATGGCCAGCTCCCGCCCATCAAGGACCACGACAAGCACCAGGCCTGCGCGCAATTCTCGATATCCAGCACCTTCGGCTCCGCGCCCAAGGGCTGGGCCGACATCTGCTGGGGGTTGTCCCCCGTCCAGGGGATGCCCGCCTCAGCCGCCGCCACATGGCAAACCCCAAGCGATTCCTTCCTTTTCATTCTTGCGCCTAGCCACAAAACAGCCCCCGCTTCCAGCAATTGAGCCAAAGGACTCCACACTCCGTCCATCTTACCTCTAGCCCTCCGGGAAGGTATGGGCAACTGACCTTCCTCGTTCACTTGTAGTCCTTGACATGTTGGCGGAATAAACCAGCTGCAGCCTCAAACCAAGCGTTGTGCTGCAACCACACGCGCCTGTAGGGCGAGGGAATACAAAGCCGCCACCTTCTGCATGCACTCGCGCGGAGGCAGTGTGAAGACACCTGAGGCACGCAAGATATCTTTGGGCCCTGCAGTAGGGGACTGGCTAGTGCTTTTTTGATGGTCTTTGCGTTGTGTCGCCAGCCTCCCTTTGCCACGAATGGAGACGGCAAGCTCAAGACCGGTGTGCTTGCAGCCTGTGAGCCGTCGGGCGTGTTGCTTGTCCCCCTTCAGCACGAGCAAGGCGGCTCATGTGGAAGGCAAGTCGAAGAAAGAAAACGATACCAAGCAGCTGGCCAATGCAGCGCTCGCGCTTTTGGCTGAAGTCTTTTGGTGGGGCTGTGAGGCGAAGGGTTTTGCGGGGACAGCATGGGCTCAGCTTCAGAGGCGCAAATTGAAAAACTCAGGCCGGGCCAATCCATTTTTTGGTTCCTAGACTGCCCTGACCAATGCAAGCCAGAACGGGCTGCCAGCCAAAACCCCCCGCCTGAATCGTCTGCAACGGTGCCATCAGCAAACTTGAAACCTGGGCGCAGTGAACATGTCCGGCTTTTGTTTCCAAACCAAACAGAGCTTGCAGATGAAGGCCTGGCATGCGCATGCGCGTCAACGCACCTCAACGCAACAAGTGCAACATGCGCAAACCAGCCTTTCCCATGTCAGGGCGAGCCGCAGAGGGAGGAGATCGACTGAAGTTCAAGCTCACCGTTGTTGAACTCCTGTCATGGGGCGAAACAGACGCGTTTTGGACACAACTTGTCTTCGCTTGCCCAGGAACAGTACCTCCTTTTTTTTACGCTGGGTTCCGCTTTTGTGAACAAGGCGCTGCGACAAACACTGGACATAGGTGTGCTGTGCCTCGTGCGTGGTCCCCGACCCAGATTGAAGCTGAGGCTGTGGATGTCACAACCCTTCCAAATGGGAATTCTCAATGGATCACAAAGCGCCATCTGCCTTCATGTGCCAGCACTCAACTGACAATGAACATGATTCAGTGACAATGACCACTCCTTTGGAGAGTGCGTGCAGCTAAAATCCATACTTTGCGGATAATTGATGAAAACAGGTGCAAAAGCTGATGTTGAATAAGAATCCTAGCGCCATGCTGACCCTTTTTGCACGACACCGAGGCTCACCCGCCAGATTTGCTGGAGGCGAGCCGTGGCTCCTGAAGCTTGTCCTCGTTGACCACAAACTCGAGCCTCGGGACGGAAAAGCACTAGCCTGTTGCTTGTGTTTGTTTGAGGCTACCTTCTTCAGGTTGGCCCAAAGGAAACCCAAAGAAAACCACAGTTTTGGGGACCCTTGTAAATGCAGAATTGCCAAATGCTCAAAACAGTGGTCGCAGCACAGAATGACACATGCCGTTCGAGCCTCCAACTAGCAACCGCGTTGTGTTGGTGGCTCACTGAACATTTATTCGCACATAAGCCCGTCTCTTGTAGATTCCTAGGTTTGCGCATCCCGTCCATCCCAAGCCGGCTTCCTGTACAGTAGCGGACGACATGGGGCCTGCCTTTTTTTGAAGCCTCCCAAGGGGCACAGCAGCACAGCGTTTTTTTTTTGAAAAAATGAAGCGGTTTGCGTTTGGCATGGCTTTTGGAAAAGGAATTCCCACCCAAAGGACGTTGATGAAAAAGCGCTGAAAACCAAACAGGAACTGAGTAGATACAAATCCAAGTAGAATTTTTACCGTAGGCCAAGGATTGAATTGAAGTTCCTTTCAAAATATAATTCTCGCCGAGGTTTTCCTAAGTAAATATAAAAACAGAAATAAAGTCTTCACCCTTTTAAAAGGAGTCAACAACTTTCCAGGAAAGTGAAGTTTCGTTCACTTACTAGTTGAATTATGTTTTTCAAACGCATCTACATGCTAGTCAAAGGTTACGCTGGTCCTGGCGTGTGTGGAGATCAAAAACCACTTTGCGGAGGTTAAAGGGGCGGGGACAAGACATCCATGAGCACACCTACGGTTGCCACGCGGCCCTCAAATCGCTGAGGTCCGACAAGCACACAATCTTCTTTGCAGCATCATGCGCTGGCGGTTCTGTGTGGGACCGGCTGAATGCGGGTGTGCGGAAGATTGAACGAAAGAAACTTGTAGGTTGGAAGCTGCTCACGTCTTTCGAGGATGTCTTATTCGAGGTCAACAGCGCGACGTTTACTCGAGCCAACGGGTTGCGCAATAATGGAGAGACCGCAACCAAAGCTATAGCTGTTAACGAAGCAACCCAGAAAGATTTGGGCCGCTCAAAACAGGCATCGGCGCTGCCGTGTGGATAGCCAAAGAAGCACTTGCAAGTGTCCTAGGTCGAGCGCGCAAAGGCCAGGCGACTTCTGGCGCTACGCAAGGCTTGGAAAAGGGAAAAGCGTCAGCCGTTGCGCACTGTTAAGCTGACACATTCCCGCGCAAAAAAGATTTCGGCTCAGCGCAAGAACAGAAACGCACATCGCGCACCCCGGGTTTCCACTTGTTGCAAGATTCAATCACTCTCATTCGTCATACTTCTTGTCGATGGAGAGGGCCCCAACTTCGGATCCGCTTTTTATTCGCGGCAACTGTGGAAAAAAGGCGCCCAAGCCTCGCGCCGGAAGCGACTGAGAAAGTTGTTGACGCGCCCGCCTTCGGGGTGAGATCCGCCTCAACAGGCACCTTGCCGTGTTCCCCGCAGCCTTGGCCCAACGCCCGGCCATGTGCCGCTGGAGAACAGCCTCGACGAGCCGCTTGCGTGTAATGATCAAGCGGGCACAGCGCAAGCCTCCCCAGCGGATGGTGAGCCCGCTGGCCCACACATCCTCTGCCGTGCGGGCGCACTCGGGCACGAACTGTTGGATCTCCAAAGCGTGAAACCTTGCCTGGCACCGTGCCAGCAGCAGCTGAAGTCGTTGAGCTTCAGCCTGCCAGTCAAACAGAAAACAAGCCGGTCACCTTAGTTACTTTCAACTTGTCTTTCGCAGCCCTGCCGCTTGCCAGTTGCAAGGTGCCATTTGCAAAAAGGCAAAAACTCAACTGAACACCTTCAGAACAGGCAAACAAACCAGCCAGCAATGTGCTTTCAAAAGCAAATTTGTCCAACTGCATGTCTACGAGGAAGCTATTTACAATGGGCAGAAGAAGCCTTTGTCCAGCTGCCAAGTGCCATTTGCAATACAGGCAAAACTCAACTGAACAACTTCAAAGCAGAAAAAATAAAATAGCCAGCATCAGCGTTTAGAAGAATTTCCTCTTTTGAACAGCGCGCCGCGGCGCAAACACGCTGAGGCAATCTGAGCGCACCTGCCCTGGAAGGAGAATCTGCGGGCTTTCTTGGCGTCACGGTGGATGCGGCCTCTGACTGGGCCATGAACAGCAACAAAGTTGCTGATTGATCGGATTAGGCCGCAAAGGTCGCCAGATGGCCGTGTGCATTTATTGTCGCCACCACTTGATTGGAACATATGGGTCCCGTTTGGCCGAATACGGCCACCCCTGAACATCGAGCAACCATACATGAAAGGCACATTGCCAAATGTGGGCGTGCCAGAAAACTGCAGGCTGAAACACGCATCCATCAGACTCGTCATCAGACCAGGTTGCTTTCATGCGGGGCGCTAGCTGGGTCTATCTGCTTTTGATGAACCCAGCTCGCGCCCCGCTTTGCAGAAGCAACCGCGCAGAACCAAGTAAACACAGCTCGCGCCTTTCATCCGAAAGCAATGTTGGCAAGACCAGTAGCGGCGCCCCGATTTTCAGACTTTTTAACGTCAAAACGCGCGAAAATCGGGCGTCGTGGCAATACTGAGTAGTAGTAGCAGATCTTGCAATAAAAGGAGCGCTTGATAAAGAATCCCTTTTCAGGTTCAGGCGCGTACTAGCAATAGCGGTACTAGCAAGACTAGTAGCCGCGCTCAAACAGCATCAACACGCGCGAACAGTAAAAGAGCTAGACTACTAGCCGCGCCCGATATTCAAGACTTTTTAACGTCAAAATACGCGCAAATCGGGCGCGGTGGCAATACTAGCAACTGGCTGTCAGGGAGGAGTTGTCGCCCGTTTCTTGACACAAACAGTGAGAAGATTGTTCTCGCATGTTTCCGCCTGCTTTTGCTAAACATGCTAAACGCAGCTAGCACCCTGCATTAAAAGCAGCCTGCTGCGATGGACACGTGCTACCAACCAACCAACCAACCAACCAACCAACCAACCAACCAACCAACCAACCAACCAACCAACCAACCAACCAACCAACCAACCAACCAACCAACCAACCAACCAACCAACCAACCAACCAACCAACCAACCAACCAACCAACCAACCAACCAACCAACCAACCAACCAACCAACCAACCAACCAACCAACCAACCAACCAACCCCCCAACCAAACAAGCAAGCAAACTCAGCCAGCCAACCAACCAGCCAGCCAACTAGCTAACCGACCAACCGACCGACCGACCGACCCACGACCTTCCAGGATACAGGCCCCGTGCCACGGCTAGGCAACAAAAAACAATCTCCAAAAACAACTCACAGCACATGGGGCCCCCCCCCACCTCCCCAATCCCCTCCCCCCAAGCGCACTTGAATCGGCTCGAGGCAGGTGGCCGGTCCCCATCGGTGTCCACGAGCTCCAGGCGCATGGCGGGTCGAGGCAACTGGCCCCGCCACTCGATGCCCGAGCGCAGGGCGAGGCAGTGCAAGCCCAGGGCCTTCTCCACCTAACAGAGTTTCCTAGATGAATGGGGTTGTCCTCTGGAAACCCCAACATGGCTGCTTTCCAGTTGGCTTTTTTCCCTTTTAAACCACCCCAAAGAAGGTGGGTGCCATCAAGAAAGGCTGACCCATATGGGTTTGTCTCAAAGGAGAATCCACGCCTGGATTCCTTTTGGTTGCCCGTTGAACCAACCCAGAAAAGGGTGCCGTCGCAAACAAACACAACAGGGTCACAAACCCAAAGCCCCAAAACCAAACCAAAACCATTGGAGACCCAAACTAATGGAAGTCAAAGCAAACCAAACCCATACACGTGGAGGTTTCCAAAAATGGTGTGTCCTCCGCTTTGGTTGGTCTTTGAAGATTGGCTTGGCTGAAAAAAGCAAAACCAAACCACATCTTTACACGTTGGTCTCAAGCCTGACCCAAACTCAACCCAAACCAACGAAACATAACTTAACCATACAAACCCTTGATGGGAACCAAGAATTAATCAACCTCTGGAGAAACATGCCTCTTGTAATCTACCAGGTTGATTCATCTTGGGTCAACATTGCACTACACATTGGTCTCAAACTGGACATGCTTTGGGGACCTCGACTGAACATGGAAGGGGGGGGGGCAAAAGCTCGACAGGTAGGCTTCTAGCAAGCGGGAAAGCAAGCAAACTTGTAAGCAAGTTGCCATATGCTGTCGCAGGTGAGTCCAGGAATGCACGCAAACCAAACCCTTAAGATTCCAAACCAAATCTGAGAACGAAAACAAGGGCGAGTGTCCCTATTCTTGTTGGGGAATGATAACTCCTAGCCTCCACTTTCCCAGATGGAAGTAAAAGATTGCCTTGATTGAACCTATCATAGACAAAGGTGGATCAACACTGCTAAACCGAAAGACCAAAAGGCACGGTGGCTCTGAGCTTGGGTTCGAAAACAGGCTCGGACCACTCTTGCTTATAGCACAACAAAGCACACATGAAATCGAACAACTATTTTTAAGGGCCAACCTGATTCTGCCACATCCCCATTTGACAAGCACAAATGTGATTTGACAGGCACGAACGTGTAGTGACAAGCCAAGAAGAAGTAATTTTCCAGGGTGGCAGGAGTCATTTTCTTTTCGGCTGATGGTGCCGATGCCTTCTATGAAGCGCAAAGGCCGAGGCTTTTGCGCCATTGCGATAACTCATCTCAGAAAAGCCTCTCCCAATGCAACTGAGATGCCTGGTCTTTGTCTTGCAACTTGAACTCGCCTTTCTCGTCCCTCACCGTGGCTGTCTCCTGATTGTACCTTGACAAAAAAATGCCTCTACCTCAAACCTGCTTAAACCCTGTGGGGACACATCTTTGTGCTGAAGGGAAAAATGCCGGCCAATCTTGACACGTCCCCCAGCTCATGAAGCATGCTGAAGCTGACTCTTCATGCCTCCCTTCCGCCGCCCTTTTGCTACTGTCAACAAGGAATCGAGCCAGCCGGCCAAGACACTCGAGCCAGGTGACCTGGTCTAGTTCCAGCTTGCCATTCACATACCTCATCCGCAAGCGCGAGGCAACTCGCAGCTGCGCAAAGTCAACGGGCCAGGTGAGTGGTGTTTTGAGGGCACCCTTTTTGGAGTGGCTTTGAAGGAAAACAACAAGAAGAAAACCACCCATTTGGGGTTCCCCTCTTGACCTACCCACCTGAAGCCAACAAGCGGGGAAACTGCTAGATCTCTGGTAGACAACTTTCCTTTGGAACGTGCTTCAAGACCTGCACATGGATAGTGTTGGAAGTGACTCCAACCGTCCAGCAATAAGCATCGCCAAACGCCAGCTGTATAGGGGTTCAGTCGCAAAGGCAAAGCTGGAAGCCTTGCAAACCTACCTGCTAACAAAGTACCAATACTACTAGCCATGCAATGAAATCATTATTAACCTCTTTTGCAGCACCGGCAAGCCCCGATGTGGAGAGACTGATGCGAAAGGGACGCAGCATTCATCCAACAATGCCAAGCATCTCCCGCAACCTGCCCCTGGGATCGATGAGGAATTGGATGCAGTCCCCGTCGCTGTCGAGCAATTCCATGAGCCCTTCCTCACGCGAAGCACGCATACCACATTTCGAAATGTAGCCACTGTGCAGAGTCTTCCGGAGAAGGGTTGAAAGCTTGCCAGCTCTCCGCTGTTCAGTTGGCCCCCAAACAATCTGGAGGTAAACTTGCAAATGTCTGGCCAGTAAAGGGTGGAGACCCACCAAGACCCCGATAAGGCGCCGCAGCTGCAAGATGCCACCAACCTTTGCCGAGTTTCGCTATGGATTTCAGCTTGTTGCTTCAATCCGCGCGGTGCTGGGCAAGCGGCTGCGGCACAACTGCTGGCGCAATGGGGACGTCGGCAAAACAGCATTTCTCGCACCTCCTTCTGAAGAACACATTATGCCAAAAGTTCTGATTTGCCGGCTGGTTAGCCGGCTGGAATGGTGCATCCTGCCGTTAAAGTGGCGCGGCGCAACCAGGGCAAGAAGACATATCTCTGCATGTGGTGACTAGTTGGTCTAAACATGGGCAAAAAAAACAGATCTTGTCAAATTGGGATCATCGGCAATGAGCAAAGCGCCTATAATCCTCCAAACGCAAGGGGTTTACCTGTCTATGTTTCAAACCATTGGACGCCATATCTTTGTGCACTGGTCACACGGCTCCAAACCTTGCTCGCCTGACCTTGAACTCCGCTGACTCAGGGCAACGAGCGGGGCCTATTTCAATGCTTTAGCTTCGTCGCGCCATCTGCCCAGCTGACCGTCTTAGTCAATGTGAGCCTCGCGTCCTAACATGCACGAATTCCCTGGAAGCAATGTGGCGAAATGCCGCTGTCTTACTGCTTGGAACTCCGAGCTAAGGTTGCAATTTAAGATGTTTTTCGAGCCGCTGAGCGCCGATCACTTTGTACATGCGCCTTCGTGCATGGGGCAGGTCGCGAGCTCAGTGCCCCTTGCTTGCCTGGAGCCAAGCAGCAACTTGAGTTTAACGATTTCAGTGACTTCTACTTGACAGTCCAACAAGCGGACACCTGACGGTTGCACACTATGAATGAAGTGGCTGCACTTTCTAGCGTTGGTGACAGGGGCGTGCACGCATCAAAAAAGGATGGGGGAGACTGCCTTAACTCAACACGCTTGAGCATATACTGCCTGCTGTCCATCGCCCAGGGACCAACAGTAGCACCCATTGACTAAGTTGAGGGAACCTCGGGATGAGGGGAACGTCCCTTCCCAGGCTGTGCACGTGCAAACCTGCAAGTGCCAAACTCAACCGAAAGGTGCCTCGAGCTCGTAGACCCTCAGATAGTCCACCTCCATGACCTGCCAAGCTTCAGAGACTGAATCAGGATCTGGGTGAGTTGACTCAATGGCGGACTTGCTCAAACTCATTTGCGAGTCCATGCTATTTTACCAACTGATTCTTGGGGTGTGTCCAAGTCATGCCGAACAAAGGTGCTTTATCACTTCGCTGTTTTGCGGCTCATCTATATCTACGAGTCTTCGGGTTCTAGTTGCCTTGCAAGGCTCACTTCCAGCTTCGCTCACTCAAACGCAGGGCTCGGGCCCATCTGACGTGAGATCCAGGGATTTTGGTCCAAAAGGCTTTCTCTGAGGCCAAAAGGCCAAAGAATCAACCTCTGCAACTGGCAGGCCTTAAGTCACGACACTCAACGTAGGTTCAAAATCGCGGTTGGTGCGACGTGATTCTCAAAGGCTAGCATTTCACACACTGTAAGGAGGAAGGCGGCCTTGCTGGTCTCTTGGTTTTTGGCGCTGGCCCCTCCCTCGGTGGCTGTTCCCATGCTGTTGCAACGCGTAAGGAGGCTTGACTCGAGATCCAAGCGGGATACATTGGCAACTGGTGCTAAAATGACCGAAATTCCACGGGCGAACTCCACAAAATACTCTATTGGCCTTCGGGGACAACAAATGGCTCCAAGCTCACAAGCGATCACGAATGGCGAAACTGTCATCTGGACAAATGCGCATAGCACTAGCAAAGCAGAACCCATGGCAATATAAATGAGAGGCCGATCTGTTGGGACGCCGAGCAACATAAACTACAATGAGGTTGCAGCCTGTCCATCCAGGCCTACCTCCCGCAAAAATGTCTTGCACAGCCTGGAAAATAATTCAATTCTCGGGCTGAAGACTGAACCCATCCTGCCTGCTGTTGGCCCAGTTCTTCAGAGTTCCGGCACGAAGGCCGGCCCTTGAGACAGTGGCCAGCCCAGGATCCGCCCACCTCAGGTGGGAAGAAGTATGTAACTTTGCTCGAGCGAGCCTCAAGGAATTGTTGTTGGCCCCAGAAGCAAGGATCAATAATCTATGGATTCAACAAGGCCCTGCCCAAGGTCAATCCCTGATGGGTGCAAAGCCCAAGGGGCTTGGAGCGGCTTTTTGGTTGAAGTGCTGCCCAGCGGCGTCAACCGCCATGTTGAGGTTCACCTTCTTCTTCAAGGCCTGCTGGGTCCGGAGGTCCGGGGAGAAGGAGTGGTACAGCTGTCCATCCTCAAGCTTGCCATTCGGCTGCCAAGGCCCAGCCCAAATTCGCAGAAACCGCTTAGCCACGCGGGTACATGGGGGAATACCGCCCTGACCGGGCAGAAGGGGCTACCTAGGCCGCCCGCCACGTACCAGCTGATTTTGTCTTGCAGCCAGTCCTCGGTGCGCAAGATGTGTTCCAGCTTGCAATTCGTGCCTCTTTGCCATAAAATTGCAAGCCAGCTGCGATAGAGTAGGTGTGCCACTGGGTATAGTCTGTGAAGTGCTGATTGCCCTGCCGCCTTGTTGCAGTCTGCACTGCAAACACGCACGTCACTTGCATGCCGGACACAACTCAGACAAGTTGCTCGGCCGCTTTCTGGCCCACATCACCTCAGCCGGCCTTTGTGGCCAACTCATTCCTGGCAACGTCAAACTGCCCAGTTCAGGAAGCTCAAGACACAATATCAGACAAGCTATCCGTTCGAGGCGTCGGGTCATTTCAGGCGTCGCATCCACACTCCTGCAATTCTGGGCTCCCAGCTTAAGATGGTTCCGTAGACCTGACGGTCGATTGACTCAGGTTCATCCATCTTTAACGCTCAAAACAGTCAAAACACAAGGAAGCGAAACCACATGAAAACCCGTGCAAATGGTGTCAGTGGCACTCTCCAGTTCAATGACACTTGGTGTGGCTTCGATCTGGAGATCTCTCATCCCCCCGGTGCTCTCGACAGTGCTGATCACATCCATGCTATGGCAGGATTATGTTGCGACCCGTGGCTAGCACTTGCCAACTACGCCCTTCAGGAGGACCAAGGCGCCATTCCACCAACCCGGCCGTGGGGAAGTCTGAAGGAAGTCAGCCGACAAACCAGCAACCACAGGGATCTAGGTTCATTCCCCCGCAGAAGGTCCGGCATCTGGTTGCTGAAGGAGTCAGAGGGCCGTGTTGTGTTGACGGTCAAAACCATTGAGATGTGTTGAATGAAGCCCCAGGAAGGTGGCACAGAAATTCGCGCCTTTCCGGAGTCACAGCCACTCGCCTCCATGAGCCCGATCTCATGGCCTTCCTCACCTTAGAACCGGGTTGGCCCATGTCAACCTAAAAATAAACCGGAGAAGATTAAGAAATGTACCTGGAATAAAGAGCACCCCTTCCCCGCCCGCAACAAACAAACAATAAAAACACAAGCAGAGAGAAACGGAAGGAAGAAAAAAGAAGAGGAGATGCTGGTGAAGCTTCATGCTTTGTTGTCAGATTTCAGCATGCTCTCCAACATCCAACATGTTCAGCTTCCCGAAACGAATGTCTTCCTATGTCTCTTGATTGAAAGCTGCCCGCAAGCAAACCCACAAAGAGGATAGTACTTCAAGACTTTAGGTCAGGGGCCCCTACAATACTGTCTTGGGACAGCCCAGGTGATAGCTTCATGCTTTGTTGTCAGATTTGTGCATGCTCCTCAAAATCCAGAATGCTCAGCTTCCCCAAGCTCATGTTGTCTTACATGTATCTTATTCAGCCCCCTGCAGTAACATCTTGTTGCGTGGCCCTCCATCAAAACCCCAAAGGAAGCTCCAGGATTACTAAATCAAATGGAAACTCGAATCGAATCTTTAAAGGAAGCTCCACCAATACTAAACAATTGAACTGGACCTCAAGATGTTATTCTAGGGACCTCCCCTTGTTAGGGGGACCCCCCTTTGCCAATCCTAGGTCGCCATCAAAGATGCAAGTTATCCATTCCAATCACCAACGTTAAGCTGGAATTCAGAGGTCAACTCAAACCAAAAGGTTCTCTCAAACAACCTCTCCCAGATCCATGATACGCTTATTCAATTGACAGTGGGCTCGCCTTTTTGCCGGCTTCCTCTTTTGGAGCGAGGCTTTTGCTGGAAAGTTGATTCAAACAATACTTGTTTCACCTTCTGGCCTCTGATCTCAGCTCCCACGTTCTTTTTGGCCCTGCTTCCCCGACCCGGCCTGTGAGCCAAATTGCTGGCCATGCGCCGCGGCCCGCTGGGGCACGAACCTGGGGCTGCAAAAACAAAATAAATAAGCTGATTGCTAGTGCACGGCATCAACACTTCCCAAAGAGTGCAACTGATCAAAGCTCGCACCAAAGAATTGTCTAGGATTGAAGACACTCTTTGTCAGGCAGAAAAGCTAGACAGGATGCCAGAAAGGCGCACGGACCAGGCAGGATGATTGAAGCTTCCATCAGCTGAACAACGCTCTTGGAGGAGTCCTGCGTCTGTTTGGGAAGGCCTTCAAGATAGCAACACAATCATGACAGCTGCACTCATCCACCCAAGTGTGCAATTGGCCAAGAAATCCTTCCGGAAGGCTCCGAAATATATAGGCGCCTGGCCTCTTCCCCTTTCCGACCGCTTGGGCGCCGGCCCGGGCTTCAATACGGCGGCCGCTGCCGAAGCGCTTCTGAGTGGACATCCTTCAGCTGCCGTATATGTTGACACTCGGGTGATCAAATTCAAAGCCGGGGACACTCTCAAAATAATACAAATGGCAGCACCCCGTTGGGGATAGATTGGCTTACGAT